TGCTGGGAATGCCAGGGGCTGCGGGTGGGGCTGCCCATGACTCAGGCCGAGTTGAGGCCAGCCAGTCTGATGCCTCGCGGCCGGGGGAGGTGCTGGGCTTGCACGGAGCACTCCGGGGTATGCCCCGTTCCCCATGCATGTGCGCCTCTGCTTGCTCTGGCAGCTGGTCACCCGCTGGCGTTGGTCCTGGAGTCTTGGGTACGGAGCCCCCTGGGGGCCTCCAGGCTTAGGCTTGCCCAGCCTGTTCCCGGCACAGCGGGGGGTGCGGTGGGTGGGGGTGGGGCCGAGCACTGCTGCTTCCCGGGCTCCTGCTTCTCCTGTCCCCCCCCCCCGCGACATCTGGGTGGCCGGGAGTCCTGTCGTCCGCTGGGAGCCCATCTCATTGTAATGTTGTCATCCGCCGTAAAAGCTGCTGCTGGCCGCTGCTTGCCAAAGACCCCTGTGTCACCAGCTGATGGTGAGTGGAGCTGAGGCCGGGCCGCTGTCACCAGGGGGGCACCGCTCCACTCCTGTCGCGCCGCAGAGTGGCCTTGAGGGCCCATGGTCACGGCCTTCCCTCCGGTCGCCTCTCCTGCCCCATCGCCCACCTGATCCACTGCCTCCCTGTTTAGGTCAATTCTACAGCAACGGAGGGCATTCTGGGAACGCCGGTGGGAGCGGCAGCGGGGGTGGTGGTGGCTCCTCCGGCTACGGCTCCTACTACCAAGGTGACAACTACAGCGCACCGGTGCCCCCCAAACACCCCGGAAAGAAGCCGCCCCACGGTGGCCAGCAGAAGCCCTCCTACGGCTCCGGCTACCAGCCCCACCAGGGCCAGCAGCAGTCCTACGGCCAGAGCCAGTACGGCAACTACGGGCCCCCGCAGGGCAAGCAGAAAAGCTACAGTCACGGCCAAGGCAATTACTCCTCCTACTCCGACTCCTACGGCTCGCCCGGGGGCGGGGGCGGCTCCGACTACAACTACGAGAGCAAATTCAGTGAGTTGGAGCCCCTTCCCCAAGCCCCCCGCCCTGGCTGGGGTCGGGGGAGGGGGCCGGGGGTGCGGCGGACAGCCTGCGGATGGCGATCAGGTCCCCAGGGTAGGCGCCCCCCAGAGCCCAGCGCCAGCTCTCCACCGGCCCCTTCCTGTCTCCTCCAGTGCCAGGTGTAGCTAAGGCCTCCAACCCCAGGCCCTGGCTACAAGATGAACCCTTGGGACCAGCAGCGCAGCCCCGGTGGCCCCCAGCCCGGCTGGGTAGAGTAGGTGGGCATTGGTTCTCCTGTGGAATGGCGGGGAGCACTGTGCCTGGCCTGTGGCACGGAGGGCTCAGTGGGCTACGGCTGGGCTGGCACCTGCCAGATGGAAGCGGATGGGAAGCGTGAGGTGGGCCCCAGCCGACCCCAACTCATTGCTGTCTTCCCTCCCCAGACTACAGCGGGAGCGGGGGCCGGAGCGGCGGGAACAGCTACGGCTCGGGGGGCTCGTCCTACAACCCCGGCTCGCACGGGGGCTACGGCGGCTCGTCCTACCCAGGCAAACAAGGTGGGCCTGGGGCAGCGGGGGGCCCAGCACGGACCCCATGGGCCGGCGCCCCTCGGCTCACGCACCGGGCTCCCTCTCTCCCAGGTGGCTACTCCTCACAGTCCAACTACAGCTCCCCCGGGTCCGGCCAGAACTACAGCGGCCCGGCCAGCTCCTACCAGTCCCAGGGCGGCTACGGCAGGAACGCAGACCACAGCATGAACTACCAGTACAGATAAAGGCCCGGGCGCCGGGCACAGGCCTGCCTCTGCACTTGCTCCCATTGGAAGACCGAGCTCCACGCATCCCAGTTACCATGTCCTCCGGCCCTTCCCGGCCCCCCCACCCGTCCACGTTGCCGTGTCGTGCGGTGCCTCGGGTCTCCCCAGACCCGCACCGTGACCCGTATTTAGCCGTGTTTGGGACTCCACGTCTCGAGTGGTCTGTTCGTTGCCATTGCAGTCCTGTCTGGGTAGTTGTTTGAGTTGCCGCAGTTGAGTTTCCCTCCGGCTCCTGACGGGCGCCGTTGGTGACGCGCCTTGTCTCGAGGCTTTGCGGGAGGGTATGGCGTCTGTTAATGCTTTTGTGAAGTGAGTTACATGAGCTTTCTGTATTTTAATGCTTTAGTGTTTCAGTTTTATAAGTGAAGATTTTATTTTAAAAACCAGTGGGAAAGAGTGGGGGTTTTTTGTATGTCTGGATCCTTCAGGCAGTACATTTGAATTAAGCGGAATGTAGATGAATAAAGAGTAAGAAAATCGTGCCCGCCTGCCGCCTGGCTGTGCAAACCACTGCAGGGAGAGCACGTGGGGTCGCCAGGACGGGCTGGGTCACCAGAGGGGCTGGAGCCCGGTGAAGACCAGCCACCAGGGCGCAGGGCGTTGGCCAAGAGACCAGCAGGACCCGGGACCTGCAAGGTGTGGCGGGCGGCCGGTGTGCGGGGGTCTCAACCCAGCCCTCCCAGGCATGCTGCTCACAGTCCTGGCTCTGCAGCTGCACGCTGTCACAGGAGAGAGTGTCCTCGCGTGGTGTGCCATGGGGTCACGGTCCTGCTGGCCTCTGGCTCTGGGCCTGGCACTTGCCCTTCCCCTGTAGTTCCCCAGCTGATGGGCCACGAGGGCAGCTGGTCATGGCTCACCGATTCATCTCTGCTCGCCCTGTAGAGGTCTAAATGGATGCTACAGCTGCTGGGGGTGGGGAGAAACCTTTCAGAAATAAATGAGATTTTTTTTTCTTCAGTGTGGTATGGGTGGCCATAGATGGGGGCAGCTGGACCGGGCAGAGCTTCCGGTCTGCCTCGGCCCCCCCAGCATGGCACCATCGGGGGAGGAGCACCTTGGAATGCGGGCCCCTCAGCTGGACAGGGTTGCTGGGCTGTGGGGGTCACCATGTCCTTGCACAAGCGCTTGCCAGGGCGAGAACTGGCCTCGTGACGGGTGCAGGAAGGGGCTCGCAGCCAGTGAGACACATAGGTGCCCTGCTTTGTGGCCAATCCCAGGGGCCGGACCTCGGCACCCTGTGGCCCTAGAGAGCCAGGAGATCTCCAGGCAGCTGCATGTGGTCGGGGTCAGGCCGGAAGACCCACTGGAGGCCGTGGTGTCTGGTGGAGGAGCCACAGCCTGGCACCCGCCTGCCAGGCCACTGCAGACCCTCAAGCCCCTGTTGCACATGGCAGAGCGCCTGGGAGAAGGTCCTCCGTGCCTTCCACTCTGAAGCCAGCAGCAGCATCTGGCATCCGACGAGAACTTGAGCCAACAACCCAGGAATGCTTTGAGGTGGGCAACGGTGATGACCGCACGGCCGGTCAAGTTAATCCTGTTGGCCAGAGGGGCTTCCTGAGCTGTGGGATCGCCATGTCCTCCCACTACGGATCGGCCCTGGCAGCCTAAGTATTCCGCTCAAGCACCGAGGGGTCTTTCCTGCGGACCCACACCGGACACTTCCTGGGTCCATCTTGCAGTGACTGAGAGCTAGCCGCTTTGGTCTGCCTGCTGCACTGAAGCCTAGTGCTGGGTTGACAGCCTGGCACAGTTGGCTCAGGTACACTCACACAGGAACGTTTTTTTTAAGCGGATTTAAATCCATTTGGAAGGCATAGTTGGCTTTCCCATCTGCTGGTTCTCTCCACACGTGGTCACCAAGGCTAGGGCTGGGGTCCTGGTCAAAGCCACATGGCCTATGCTGGTGCAGTGGCCCTAGCACTTGGGGGCTGGATCGGAGCAGGGTGGCACTCCCCACCAGGCACACTGCTGGAGTTCTGAGCTGAAGGGACTGCCCCCACCAGGTGGGTACTCCCTGCTGGTGGGCATGGCAAGTGTGGGGGTGGGGAGGTACAGATCGCCATATGCGGGATTAAGGAAACTCAGCCACTCCATAGGTCCCCGTGGCAGGCCCCGCGCACCGCACCCCCACTCCTGGCGTGGCACTCCTGCAGCTCACATCCTGGGCAGCCTCTGCTGGGCTCCACGCAGCCTCCGTGGCGCTGTCCACGGTGCTGACGGCCGCTCGCCGTGGCCTCTTCCCGGGGACGTGCCAGGACCCCAGAGCAGGTGCTGCACCACGTGCTCACCCTCAGGGATGGGTGGTCGGCCTCCCTCCACACTGCGGGATCTCATGGCCGCCGGTTCGTGTCCCAGCTCCACTTCCCATCTTTGGGGAGAACTGTTACTGCAGAAAGTTTTTTTTTTTTAATTACAAGTGTTGTGAAAGCAATGGCTAATAGGATATTTTCTTTATGTTAATCATTTATATGAAAGGCAAAGTTGGGGGAACGGAAGGAAAGGAATGTTTCACCTGCTGGTTCACTGTTCTCTCCACTCCCCAAATGAGTACAGCTGCCGAGGGAGCCGCTCAGGAGCCAGGAGCCGCTTCAGGGTCTCCCATCATGCGGGGCCACTGCCTGCCAGGACACAAGCAGGGAGCTGGGTGGGGAGTGAGTCTGGAACCCGCGTCCCTATGGGTGGCTGCCTCCACCGACTGAGCTTAACGGCTCAACCTCAGCACGTTGGCCACATGAGGGAAGGGTGGCCAAGCGGAGCAGCCTTGAAAACTCTGCGCCTTGTAGGAGCAATCCAGCAAGGACGGGGCTTGCAGACGGAGCAGCGAGCGCCCCAGGGCCTCCTGGTCTGCTGGCCCGTGCTGGCCCGTGCTGGCCCGTGCTGGGCCCGCAGCCCGCCCGCCAAGCCCAGTGTTTGGGATTAGGGCGCACTCTGCTGGCCCCGACCGGCAGCCAGCGTACTTGCAAAACCCTTGAGTGGGTCAGGCAGGCTGCTGTCTCTGCTGGGCACGCAGCTGGATCCGGACGCGCGCAGGAACGAGCGCGAGTGGGCATGCCTGGGCCCCTCGAAGCAAACGCCACTTTGCAGGCCGAGAGAACGCGGGCGTCCGTTGCCATGGTTCCCCCGCGCGCGCCGGCGCAGCGCGTCTGCGTGGCGTCTCCGTCACGTGACCGAGGCCAAGATGGCGTCGCCCATGGTGCTTGCAGACCTGGCGGCGGTCGCGTGTTTCCGGCAGGCAGCATGGCGGCAGCGGCCAGTCAGGCTTCCCTGGACTCGGCGCCGCGCATCCTGCGGCTGGTGGCGGAATGCAGCCGCTCCCGAGCCCGGGCGGGCGAACTGCGGCTGCCGCACGGAACGGTGGCCACCCCGGTGTTCATGCCCGTGGGCACGCAGGCCACCATGAAGGGCATCACCACGGAGCAGCTGGACGCCCTGGGCTGCCGGATCTGCCTGGGCAACACTTACCATCTGGGGCTGCGGCCGGTGGGTGGCGAGGGGCGGCAAGGGCGCCCCGGCCCTGTGAGCGGCGGGGTGGCGCCGGGGCCACGCTGCTCACCCCCGACCTTGCCACTGTCCACCCCAGGGCCCCGAGCTCATCCAGAAGGCGCACGGCCTGCACGGGTTCATGAACTGGCCCCACAACCTGCTGACGGTGAGCTGTGGGACGCAGAGGGCGAGTGGGCGGGGAGTGCCTCGCAGCCTCCGGTCCTGACGGCTCCGCTGTGTGGGGGACCCTGCAGGACAGCGGTGGCTTCCAGATGGTGTCCCTGGTGGCCCTGTCCGAGGTGACGGAGGAGGGCGTCCGCTTCCGCTCGCCCTATGATGGCGAGGAGACCCTTCTGAGCCCTGAGAGGTCGGTGGAGATCCAGAATGCGCTGGGTGAGTGACCCCGAGGCGGGGCGACACCCCCTTCTCCCCCTGGCCTGTGCTGTGTGGCTTTGGGCCGGAGGCTCGCCTCGCCTGGCCGCAAGCAGTGGTAGCTGCTTCCTGAGCCTTGGCCGCGAGCAGGCGGCTGCGTCAGAGGTAGGACAGCCAGGACTTGAACCTGTGCAGATGCAGGCATGGCGAGAGGCCTTGGTACACGACTGCCAGGCAGGTGAAGCCGGGGGAGTCCTAGGTGGAGTGTGTGGTTCCTGGCTTCTGTCTGGTCCAGAAGATAGTAGAAGATCTCTCTCTTAAGGCTGGTGCGGTGGCGTTCATGGGTTAAGCCACCACCTAATATACCAGCTTCCCATATGGGCACAGGTTCAAGTCCCAACTGCTCCACTTCTGATCCAGCTCTCCGCTAAGGTGCCTGGGAAAGCAGTGGAGTTTGCCTTGAGTGCTGGGGCTACTCCTGGCCCAGCTTGACTTGCTGTGACCATTTGGGGAATGAACCAGCAGCTGGAAGGCCGTTCGGCATCGATGTCCCTGTTACTATAACTTCATTTAAAAAAAAAAAGCTATTTTTATTGGAAAGTCAGATACACAGAGAGGAGAGACAGAGGAAGATCTTCCATCCGATGGTTCATTCCCCAAGCGGCCACAACCAATCCGAAGCCAGGAGCCAGGAGCTTCTTCCGGGTCTCCCAGGCACTTGGGCCGTCCTCCGCTGCTCTCCATCAAGCACGTAGCTGAACCGGAAGTGGAGCAGCCGGGACACGAGCTCGGCCCCCGGATCTGGGGTGTGGACGAGCCGCATCCTAACCCACTGTGCCCAAGCCCTGCCCCGTGTTGAGGATTTTGACATCAGGGCAGGCTGCCCCTGGGAGGGAGTCCTGGCACCCAGCCTTGCCCCGTGTGAGCTGAGTGCCCTCCATGGGACGCGCCCCATCCCCCACCCCGCCCTCCTCCCCCAGGCTCTGACATCATCATGCAGCTGGACGACGTGGTCAGTAGCACCGTGACGGGCCCACGCGTGGAGGAGGCCATGCACAGGTGTGTGTGTGGGAGAGAGGCTGGGGAGCAGGCCTGGGGACAGTGTGTGTGTGTGTGTTAGAGAGTGGTGGGGGGAGCAGACCTGGGTTCGGCAGCCTTCTCCCTCTCCCCGCTCTGCCTGCCTGTCCGTCCCCTGACGCTCGGGAACCGTCTTGCAGGTCCGTGCGCTGGCTGGACCGGTGCATTGCTGCCCATCAGCGGCCAGACCAGCAGAACCTGTTCGCCATCATCCAGGGAGGCCTGGACGCAGCCCTCCGCACCACCTGCCTTGAAGGTAGAGCCGAGGGCTGGCGGGTGCCCGGCTCGGTGCATCCACCCGCAAGCATGGGTGGGCACGGCACCCTCGGTGTGTGGGAGGTGTGTGGCGAAGAGGGCGGCCAGTTGCCCGGGCTGTGCGCAGGGCCAGTGGATCTCGGCCAGTCCCAGGGTGGCCACAGGTCACACAGCTTGGCTGTGGCAGAAGTGGGATCTTTGTTTATTTTCTTCCACTTGCAAGGCGGAATGACAGAGTGTCTTCCGTCAGTGGGACTGTGTCCAGCCGAAGTCAGGAGCCAGGATCTGCACTCGGGCCCTTGGGTGACGGAGCCGCCACCCCGTCCCTCCGCCTTGACTGGCCGGGTGTGAGAAGTCTCCATAGGATTCAGTGCAGTGGCACAGTGGATAGAGCTGCCGCCTGCAGCCCTCACATCGTGCCCGGGCGGCTGCTTCGCCCCTTCCCACCTGGCTCCCTGTTAATGCGTTCAAGAAAGCAGTAGAGGATGGTCCGAGTGCTTGGGCCCCCACACCCACACGGGACACCTGGAAGAAGCTCCTGGCTCCTGGCTTCGGGCCAGCCCAGCACTGGCTGGGAGGGCATGAGCCAGTGGGTGCAAGATTTCTCTCTGCCTTTTAAATAATTCACACACACGCACAATGGTCGCTGAGGTGTCTGGCAGACGTCTGGGACACATTGTCCTTGAGCCGGGCAGCCCCTCATCAAAGCCCCTGCGCCCCGCAGAGATGACCAAGAGGGACGTGCCCGGCTTCGCCATCGGGGGCCTGAGTGGGGGCGAGAGCAAGGCGCAGTTCTGGCGAATGGTGGAGCTGAGCACGTCACGGCTGCCCAAGGACAAGCCCCGCTACCTGATGGGGGTCGGGTACGCTGGGCACCCCCAGATGGACACCTCCCTGCCCCGGGGGTGGGATTCTGGAGGGGCGTGGCCTAAAGGGGGAGGAACCAGGGAAGGCCCCGCCCCACTCCCTGGCCATGAAACTCCTCCTCCCCCACTCCCACACAGCTATGCCACGGATCTCGTGGTCTGCGTGGCCCTGGGGTGTGACATGTTTGACTGCGTGTACCCCACGAGGACAGCGGTGAGACCCCGTGGGCGCGGCCTGGGTGTGGTCGGCAAGAAACCCCCACCGTGACCCTCACCTTGTCCTGTTCTCGCACCCCCTGGGTGCCCAGCGCTTCGGCTCCGCCCTCGTGCCCAGTGGGCACCTGCAGCTGAAGAAGAAACAGTTCCAGAAGGACTTCGGCCCCGTAGACCCCGACTGTTCGTGCCCCACCTGCCGGAAGTAAGGGATGGCCCGGCGTGCACGTGGAGGACTGGGTCAGTGGGGAGGGGGCCGGGCGGGCAGCTCACGGCCACCGGCCTCCCCGTGCCCCCGCAGGCTGACCCGCGCCTTCCTGCATGCCTTGCTGCACAGCGACAATACGACCGCCCTGCACCACCTCACGGTCCACAATATCGCCTACCAGGTGAGGCGGCTCTCCCTTCGGATGGCCGGGGATGCCGGGGTGGGTCCGTGCTGGACGTCCACGCCGGCCTCCTCTCGCCCACGCAGCTGCGGCTGATGAGCGCCGTGCGTGCCAGCATCGTGGAACAGCGCTTCCCCGAGTTCGTCCGGGACTTCATGCGCACCATGTACGGGGACCCCACGCTCTGTCCCCCCTGGGCCGTCGACGCCTTGGCCTCCGTGGGCATCACCCTGGCTTGACCTGGGGCTGGAAGATTACCAAGCAGCTTTTTGTTTTTAATCCCCCCAAAAACATACATACATATATACATATAAAATATATATATTTTTTAATTAAAATGCTAGCAGGGTATCCCTGTCTGCCTGGGGAAGGGGAGTCCCATTCCGCATGGGGGTTCACCGCCACTGGGTGTCCCCAAGTTGTTATAAGTCACCAAGGGGAACAGAAGGTTTTGTTAACTGCAAACTGTCCCCCAGCCCTGCGTCTTACAAGTTGGCCAGGAGCCGGGGTTACTTCCTGTTCTGCTGTAAGCTGGCAGGGGGCGCTGTTGATCTCTTGTGTTTGGAAAAAATATACATATATATATATATATATATAGTCAGATAGAAGCAAAGGGGTGCGGGAGGAGGGGTCCCTACTTGGTCACCCGCGATGGGCCCAGGTCACAGGCCTGGCAGCCGTGCCCCCAGGTGCGCCTTGGCGGCCCTGTGCCTCTCAGACGCCTGGGCAGATCCTTGCACAAGCTTGGGGGAGGCCGCTGGGCATAGGGTCGCGTGCCCACAGCGCCCTGCTCTGCTCTGCACCCCAGGAGCCAGTGGGGTCACTCCTTCCCCGGCTCTGGACTGGCCCAGCCTGTCGCGGCTGGGGACCCTGGGGGAAGACGGCCATCTGTCTGCGTCCTACAGCCTTGCCAATAAACACTTTTAAAAGTGAATTTTGGAAGAAACAGTCACCTGTACCTGTTTTTTACTCTACTGGAGCTTCTTGGACCACTATGATGATGCTGATGTTATGAACGATGTGTGTATTTGAGATCTCTCTTGCACCGGCTCAGCGACAGGAGCGAGCCAGACCCGGGCGAGCAGCCGAGTCTGTCTCGGTGTCCCCGGGGCCCGGGGCTGAGCCAGGGGCTGCAGGGCAGAGGACGGACCTCCCGAGGCAGCAGCCCCGGGGTCGCCCAGCTCCCGCCTGCACACCCAGACAGGGAGTGGGCGCGCGGGCCGCCGCAGGGCACGCTGGGACTTGTAGTTTTTCCCCGATCCCGGAAGCTCGGACGAGGCGCCCACCGAGTCCCGCCACGAGGCGTCGCCCTTTCGGTGCTCGACTTCCCGGAAGCGACACCAGAGAGAACGGGAGTTCCGTCGGTTGACAGAGAAAGTTCGCAGTAGGAACCAAGACGCTGCCGTGGAAACCGTCCCTCTTTGCCTTGTCGGCCGGGGGAACCAAGGCAGAGGTCCATAGCCAGTGGGAAATGTTTAGGGAACTAAGTTAGAGTCAAGTGACAAACTGGCGTCTTTAAGAACCGATCCCTAACGTCATTGGCTAGCTCATTCGACCGGCGTTCCTCGCAGCCAATGAGACGGCGGTCCTCTTCCCACGTGGGCGGGGACAGTATACCTCCCGGAAGCCCCGCCTCCCAGCCCAGACAACTCGCTCTCCGTCCTCACTGGCTCCGGGTCTAACAGTGACAGCTGTGTTACCCAATCACAACGCGAGGCGGCACCCTCGGGTCCGCCTGAGGCCTGTGCCTGCCCCGCATTGGCTGCCGCGCGCGAGTGGCGGCGCTCAGGCCCAATGGGCGGCGGCGCCGGGGCGTGGGGGCCCGCCCCGCCCGCAGCCCCGGGAGGCCGGGGGCGGGAGGTCGCTCGGGGTCGGGTGTCGCCTGAGAAGCGGATGAGGCGGCGACCGTGAGGCCGGGCCGGGAACGGGGCGTCGCGCCGAGTCCCGGGGAGCGAGTCCGGGGAGCGAGTCGGGGAGCGCGGGCCGCCGCCGTCCCGCGGAGCGCCGGCCGCCGCCATGGGCAACCGCGGGATGGAGGAGCTGATCCCGCTGGTGAACAAGCTGCAGGACGCCTTCAGCTCCATCGGCCAGAGCTGCCACCTGGACCTGCCGCAGATCGCCGTGGTGGGCGGACAGAGCGCCGGCAAGAGCTCGGTGCTCGAGAACTTCGTGGGCCGGTGAGCCGAGGGCGGCCGGGAATGGCGGCGGCGCGGCGGCGCTTGCGTGCCCGGGAGGGCGGCGCGGAGGGTCGGGGTGGGGACGGCGCGGCGCGTGCATGGGTGCTGGACCCCCGGCGCTCAGCGCAGGGCCGGGCGCGGGCGCGGGGGTGAGGGTGAGGGTCCCTGTCGGGGTGCAGGTTGAGGGCGCCAGGGGTGAGGGTGAGGGTCCCTGTCGGGGTGCAGGTTGAGGGCGCCGGGGGTGAGGGTGAGGGTCCCTGTCGGGGTGCAGGTTGAGGGCGCCAGGGGTGAGGGTGAGGGTCCCTGTCGGGGTGCAGGTTGAGGGCGCCGGGGGTGAGGGTGAGGGTCCCTGTCGGGGTGCAGGTTGAGGGCGCCGGGGGTGAGGGTGAGGGTCCCTGTCGGGGTGCAGGTTGAGGGCGCCAGGGGTGAGGGTGAGGGTCCCTGTCGGGGTGCAGGTTGAGGGCGCCGGGGGTGAGGGTGAGGGTCCCTGTCGGGGTGAGGGTGAGGGTGCCGGGGGTGAGGCTGCCGGGGGTGAGGGTCCCGGTCGGGGTGCAGGGAGGTGAAGGCGAGGTAAGGGTGAGTGTCGGGGTGCAGGGAGCTCAGCGTGGGGAAGTCGCGTCCCTTCCGGTGCCAGCTCGCCTTGGTCGCCCATGTGTGCAGTCACTGGAGCAGTGGTCCCTGCTGACCCTCCTCCTGTCCGTGCTGACCCTTCCCCAACTGCAGCACGTGGCAGCCGAGCCGGCTCGTTGACTGTGACCCTAGGGTCACCCTGTGGTCAGGTCCTGGGTTGGGTGCCAGGGCCCTCTCGGTCCACTGCCTGTCTCCTAGCCTGAGCGTCCTTGTGCATCAGCCAGCAGGTGTCTGGCCCCACACCTCCGGAGACACGGTGGAGGAGTGGGGAGGTGGAGGTGAAAGCTTGCGTTCTCGGACTCTTGGGGTGCTACTTCTGGTCGCCCTGGCGTGTCCATGCGTGGGAGCGTGGTTCAGCTTGACCTGGGCAGCCGCTTGTGTGCTGGAGGGAGGGCGGGCTGTGCAGGTTGTCACCTGCTGGGTGTGTCGTGACTGAAGGCTGCCCCGTGCCTCCCTCCGCGTGCACGCACACACACACTTGCACCCTGCCTGGGCCTGAGCGGGCACTGCCGCGGCTCTGGGCTACCAACGGCTCCCACCCAGCCTGGCTTGTTGGCGTCACTGTCAAATGTCCCCTGCAGCAGGGCCCAGCCTGAGGGCCCGGGGTCTTGGCATCGCCCCCTTGGCCGTGAGGAGCGCTGGGAAACATCTCCCTCTTGTCCAAGGCCAGGCACACACACACACACAGACACAACACCGGTCAGTCTCCCCCTTGTCCAAGGCCAGGCACACACACACACACACACACACACACACACACACACGGTCTGTCTCCCCCTTGTCCAAGGCAGGCCAGGCACACACACACACACACACACACACACACACACACACGGTCTGTCTCCCCCTTGTCCAAGGCAGGCCAGGCACACACACACACACACACACACACACACACACACACACACACACACGGTCTGTCTCCCCCTTGTCCAAGGCAGGCCAGGCGCACGCGCGCGCGCGCACACACACACACACACACACACGGTCTGTCTCCCCCTGTCCTAGCTCTGGGCTGGGAATTTCCTCTTTGCGCGCCATTGTCCCTGGCCGGCTGCCCTGTGTCCACCGTAGCGAGAAGTTGCAGGCTGGACTCCGGTCTGTGTGGCGGGCTTGTCTTCCTGTCTGCCCCTGGCCCGCCGGTGGGTGCCCGCAGGCCTCCGGCTGCTTCCTGGGCCTTGGGCCCCTGTGCTTGTGGGCAGTAGGACTCGTGTTCCTGCCAGCAAGATGCTGGGGTGAAGCCCTTGCCACCGGCTGTTGCACAGGGCACAGCATGGCGCTGGAGTGTGGGAAATTGCTCGGGACATTTAAGCCTGTTGGCTGCTGCTGCGGGCCCATTGTGAGGAGTGGCAGGTCGAGGCTGGGCCGTGGAGCACACTCGCTCTGCGCTGCTCACCGAGCACCATCCCCTTCCTCCCCCGGCTGCTCCCGCAGCCCCTGGGCCTCGCGTTCCTGCCCTCCCCGGCCCACAGTTGCCAGCTCCAGGCTGTGCCTGTGGGTCCCTTGCAGGCGCCCAGGGCCCTGCAGCCCCAGCTGGGTCTCTGAGCTTGTCCGTAAAAGCCAGTGGGGAGGAGAGCTGCGGGTAGGCTGTGCCGCGTGTGTGATACATGTGACAGGAGTGTGTGCCAGGCCTGTGTCCCCTCACTGCCCTAGTGGCCGCCCAGGCCCGTTCATTTCACCCTCCACTCGGAGACCTGGGTGCACCTGCCCTGCCCTCCCTCAGGACAAGGGGGCGTGGCGCTCTCCCTCTGCCCTTCCCTACATATTTCGCCTCTGGGACAGGGGAATTTCCCCTCTTAGCCAGAGCTGGGCGGGTCCAGGCCTTTGGCTTGGCTGGCTCAGGCCACTGGGACTCCCCGTGTGCCTCAGTTTGCCAGGATCACAGATGGGGCTGTGCCCCCGGCCCTGCTGGCTGCGCTTGGTCAGCCCACATCCCTCGCTCATCACCTGCTTGCCCTTTAAAACGGGCACCCTGCGTGTCTTTTTTGTTTGATTTCTTTTCATTTTATTTGAAAGAGAGCGAGGGTCTGGCCAGACAGTCTAGTGACTAGATCTTCACCTTTCAACCACTGGGATCCCCTGTGGGCACTGGTTCTAATCCCAGCTGCCCCACTTCCCACCCAGCTCCCTGCCTGTGGCCTGGGAAAGCAGTGGAGGACGGCCCACAGCCTTGGGACCCTGCACCTGCGTGGGAGACCCGGGGGAGACTCCTGGCTCCTGGCTTCAGATTGGCTCAGCTCCAGCCATCGTGGCCACTTGGGGAGTGACCCAGCAGACGGATGATCTTTCTACCTGTCTTGTCTGTGTAAATCTGCCGTTCTAATAAAGGTAAATAAATCTTAAAAAAGAAAAAGAGAGAAAGATCTTCCATTGGCTGGCTCATTTCCCCCCAGTGCCCACGGCAGGCTGCAGTGGGACCGACCAGAAGCCAGGGTCCAGCCCCTCCTCCCACATCTCTCACGGGCTGGGCTGG